GGGTCCCTGCGCTTGTGTAGCAGGCGGCGAAACCACTGAGCTAAATCCCCGGCCCATGAGTGACATTTTCAATCCTGCAATAGGGACTTTTCACCATGAACATTTATAAAAGCTGTGTTTTGTATTTATTTATTTATTTATTTATTTATTTATTTATTGGCTTTTTTGAGGTAGGGTCTTGCCTTGTAGTTCAGGCTGGCCTTGAACTCACTGTGTAGCCCATACTCGAACTCTTGGTGATCCTCCTGCCTCAGCGCTGGGATCATAGGTGTGCACCATTACACCTGGTGACACTGATGCTTTTAATTCTCCTCGACCATGTGTGTGCCTCGGGCTTAGGGCCCTGGCCATGCCTTATGGGACACACTGCTGGTCAGTCCCTCTCTCTTAGGATGTGTGTTACAGACCAGTGGATGTGGGAAAAGTCGCATTAGAGGGTAGACATGATTGGTCAGTGAGTCATTCAGACGTGTTGGAAAATACTAGAACTCAGTGGAATAGTGAGATTGAGTAACCTTTTTTGCTGTTTACTTTGGAGGGCAGTGGATGGTATGAAGTCGTCTAGGCTTGATAAAGTTTTAATAAGTATTTGCCTAGTGAAAAGCAGGAGACTGAGGTGACTTTTAAATAGAAGATTACAAACGAGGAAGTGCGGAGCTGAGCGGTGCCAGGCTTCTTCTGGGGTCACATTTCCCCCCAAACCCACAGGTAGTGAATCAGGTTGGCTTCCCAGAATGACACAAGCCGACCTGGAAGAGTCAGGTGCTTTTGGCAACTAGTTAACCATTTAAGGGCTTGGATAACTCTGGAGAATTATTGCTTGGCCATACTTTGAGAAACAGGAGGGTTTATTCACTTATTGAGTGCCTACTGTATGCGAGGCCCTGGGAGTCCAGGGTGAGCCCTACCTCCCGGGGTTGGGTGGACAGAGAGTCGGATGAACTAGGAGCTGAGTTCAAGGGCAGGAGAGACTGGGAGAGAGTGATGTGGGTGTGTGAAGTGCGTGGTTGAGGGGAGCGGGCTGTGGCAGGATTCTGGCAGCCTCTATTGGGCAGGTTTGGGGTAAGTGCCAGGGGCCAAGTCCCAGCTGCCACTGCCGGGCCTTGGCAAAATGTTAGGGTTCAGGGAGGACAGAGGGCTGAGGGGGGATCTGGTGGCCGGATGCAGTGACCATGGTGGTCCAAGTTAAGCCACCATGTTCCTTGTGGTAGGAAACTCTCCTGACTCTGCTCTCTCAGCACATTTGTTCTCCTGCCGCTGCCTCCTGATCTGGGCAGTCCTGGCACCTCTTCCATCTCAGATATGAGCAGACACGCCCTTGGGACTCTGGTTTGGGCCCCAGCACCCTGGGCAGAGGATGTGGACAATGAGGACAGAACCCGGCCTCACCTCAGAGCTGTGGCCCACATGGGCTGTGGGGCCCCGTGATCAACACTGTCTGGAGTCTGGGGACAGAGGTGACTCGATCAGCCAATGGCAGGCCCATGGGTCTCTTCAAGTGCCAGGGTTGTGGGTGCTGGGGAGCCCCTCTGAGGAGCAGGGATGGAGTTGCTGGATGTAAGTCAGGTGCAGACGAGGCCAGAGCTCAGAGGGAGCTGCCAGGACCAAAGCCCAGGTGAGGTTGGTGGGTCGGTGTGCACACCCATCCCAGCCTGTGCTGCGACTCCACCTATCTGTGCAGGTGGCACCTTTTGGGGCCCTGGAGTGGGGATCAGTTCAGTGTCCACCAGAGGCATGCTGTGGCCGAGCTCTGTGTCAGTGGGGTGCAGCTGCTGTTTCTCTCTCAGTCATCAGACCTGGGATGGGGGGAGCAGGGGCAGCAAAAGGAGCCGCCTGGAAGGCTGGAAGGGGCACAACCTACAGGGGGACCTGGCCACACTGGGGACAGGGCACCCACCTTGACACCAGGTAAAGTGGGAGGGAGGTGGGACCCTGGGAAAGCGTCTGGAGCCCTTGGGAGGAGCCAGTCAGGAGGGGCCTGCCACAGTCATGCCCAGAAAGTGGCCCATGTGCGTGGTGACACCAGAACTGCACCCAGGACCTGGTGTCACTGTCAAAGAGCCAACTTGGGTTTGGGTAGACGCAGATTCCTGTGCACCCCAAAACTGGGTGCGGAAGCCCGTTGAGGTGTGAGGTCGTGCCCTGGTGGCAGCGGAGTCCAGCAGTGCCCAGGGTGTGGTGTGTGGCCCCGTGCCCTGGGCCTCGGTCTCGCCAGCACTTGGATTCAAACAGGGAGACTTTATCTGGTGCAGCACAGCGTGTGGAAAACACTCCTCAGTTTGACGTGGTTTTTTCA